CTCTCTGTAGTTTCTTAAAGACTTGGGAAGAGCAGTTGCCAAATCACGCCATGATGCATCCAGATAGAATGCTTTCTATGCTGCGTCTATAAAATTTGGCAAGATTCCTTGTGGATGTGCCAAATTTCCTTAGCCTGCTGAGGAAGTATAGATGTTGTTGTGCTTTTGTGACCATTAGGTCGACATGTGTAGCCCAGGACAGACTGTTGATGATCATTTTTCTCAGGAACTTGATGCCCTTGACCAACACCTCAGCACCATTGATGCAGACAGGAGCATACCCTCCACTCCACCTCCTGAAGTCAATGAGCAGCTCCTTTGTTTTGTTGAAGTTCTTCAGACATCCAACATTTACTGTCTAATAGTAAGGTACAGCAACATTTACTATTGACACCATGTAATAAGATGAATCCTCAATACTGCTCATTATGTTGTACAAGCTGTCTAGTGGGTTTGCTGCCATGATCCTCTTTCCTGATAGAAATCCACAGAGGCTCCTTGTTTTGGTGTGGTACAGCAAAACCACTTGGCCATCTAATAAGAAGAGGCTCATGTCTTCTACAAATTGTATTTTATCGCATTATAGCAACTAGTTACAGATTACATTGGTATGATAGACATTGTTACAAGATTGAGGGACACCTCAACAACAGGTCTTCCTCCTTCACAGTCCGAAGCTGTTGGTCTCACTAATGGCATCATCATCACATTGCGTGGTGCTTAATGCAATTCCTGGCATTAATTAGTTTAGACTGGTACACCCTGATGCAACATTCATTTGGGAGGTGGGTCCATGGAGCTGCAGCAGCTTTCAATTTTGTTTGTGTGCTTGACCATGGTGCCAATTACTAAAAACAAACTGCCACTAAAATCATCTGTACCGGCACTATAAGCTGAATATTAGGCTGTGCAGTGAATGTCAGCATGCAGGTACAGAATGTACTGCCATGCAGTCAATCTGTTTTCATGGTGACTAACAGCACTGGCCAAAACACACATCTTGACTTGCCAGTTGGATTTTGCACAGAAAAGGCAGCTGTTGGTGGATTAAAAGTGCATTTAGCAAATAGTGTAATTGTTTGCTCAACAGTAACCATGGATAATAAACAAGGGAAAGAAGCTGGAGCGGGGATAAAGTATTTAAAGAAAGAAAAGAAATATAAGGCAAAAAAATTAGAACCAAAAGAGGAAACAGAAATAAAGTAGAGAGAGAGAGAGAGGTTCCTGAATAGGTCACAGAGTAAATACTGTCCAACATAGTATTGGACTAGTAAGTGCAGAGTTAGGTTCAAGCCCAATCTGAGTCCATTGTTTCCAAACAGGGCGATAATATAAGGCTCCCAGTGCTGTTGAAATGTTTAGGCTCGGGAGAGGGAAGATCATCTCAGAAGGCAAATTCCAGATCCCGATTGCTATCCATTGACATCCGTTATAAATGGTCAATGTTGGATAAAGGCATGGCATGGTTTGATCAAATTCACCCAAAAAAGAATTATTCATAAAATTTGTAAAGGTACATAACATTGCAGTTTAAATTTGGTACTGCATGAAGAGAAGTACAGTTCATTATTTTTCAACACAGTGCCTCACTAGATTTACAATTACAGATTATATTTACAACTTACATTTTCATGTCACATTCTCTGGTGCTTGTAGCAAGGAGTTTTCTACAGCTCTAGACCTTCATTGTGAGTGGCCCTTAGTTAGTGAACTTTCCCCATTGAGCCCCTTGACATTGGGCCCCCAAGCTTTGGTTTATCCCTCAGCATGTAGTTCTGCACCTCGGAATGTGTCAGTTGGCAATGAGCAGTCATGGACAGTTCTTTACACTAGAAGGATTTTGGTGAAAATCTCTCTTGGTTGGATAACCTGAAGATGGTCGTTGTCCAGAATGTTCTGCTGAAGGGTCTCACTTGAAACCTTACTCTCTCTTTGAGATGCTAGCTGACCTGTATGGACTTTCCCAACAGCAACATTCTCTCTTTAGTTGGGGATCTTGAGAATAAATACGGATGCTGAAGGGGAAAGTGTCCAGAATAAGAGTCTTGATAGCTTGCTTTCCTTCTTTAACCTGGGTCTTGAATGGGTCCTGAAATGTTTTTTAACAAGAGTTTCTGCAAAAAGATTTCCAAATAAAACAGAGAACTCCTGCATCTTCAGAATGTCACAAAGCACTTTAGAATTAATGATATAACAAGGTGTAGAGCTGGCTGAACACAGCAGGCCAAGCAGCATCAGAGGAACAGAAAAGCTGACGTTTCAGGTCTAGACTCTTCTTCATTTTCTGAAGAAGGGTCTAGACCCGAAACGTCAGCTTTCCTGCTCCTCTGATGCTGCTTGGCCTGTTGTGTTCATCCAACTCTACTCCTTGTTAAATCAGATTCTCCAGCATCGGCAGTTCCCACTATCTCTGTTAGAATTAATGATGTACTTTTTAATTGAAGTAAAGTTTCTGTTGTAATTCAGAAAACGTAGTTAAGTGGTAAATTATTGACCAGAATTTTAGGAGGGGTCTGCTACTCTTCTGCAACATAGTACCATGCATCAATAGATGGAGTCTTATTTATCTCTCTTGAAAGGCAGCAACTCTGACAATTCAACAATCTCATAATGCTGTCCTAGCCTAGGGTCAATGAACTCACAAGCTTCTGACTTAGAGGTGATTGTGTGATCAACTGAGTCATAGCTGACACTTGTAAGTACTGTGACAGAGAAATCAGCTCTTGGTGTTGTGCTTTTTTTAATCTAAATCTATGTTCAACTAGCCAAGCAAGATACAACACCAATTGTCCTTTTCCAAGTGGTCAGTATTTATGCATACATCCTGATATTAAGGGTCAATCAGCTATCTATTATAGAAGATATCTTCAGTTAGCTTCGAACTAGTCCTCATCCCTTGTTTACACATTTACTTTTTCAGTAGAGATCACAGCTTAGCAATCAGGTGTTAAAATTGTTTTCTCACACTGGGACTCTGTAGCATTGTCAAACCTCCACCATCTTACAACTAAAGTGAACTGGACATTCCTAAGAGTCATTACTCAGTGAAGATGGTGGCACTTATGCTACTGGAATGGAGAAAGCCATTGACTTTCTTCCTACACCATTGGATCTCTGAGAGACGGCTGAACCGATGGCTTTCCTGAGACCAGGCTGGCATAGTCTGGTGCCGTGGTCTCCACTGCTAGTCCTGGGGGAAGAGCTTGATCACAAATTGTCTTGAGGGCAGTTATGGTGCTGGAATCAAATAAGGGGGATACTATAGTGGTGAAGTAGGTAGTTATGAGGTGAATTTGGTAAGATATAACCTGCTACCTTGTGGCAAAAAATCCTCCAAAAATCCCTATGCGACTCATACTTAGCCAAAGAAATGGAAGATTTAATCCATGGATTTCAAACTTCTGTGTCTTGGAATAATTTAGTGATATAAGTAAGTTTTGTAGTGTCATTATACGAACATAGGAAAACCACAGCAACAGGAATAGGCCTCAAATCTGCTGTTCAATTAGATCATGGCTGAACTGTAAATTTACTTTCTACCCACCTTAGCTCCTTATCCTTGATAGACATACTTAATAAGTTTTGAACTTTTCAATTGACCCCCAGTCTTTGAAATATTAGGTTTTCAGATTTTTGCCGCCCATTATGCGAAGAAGTGCTTCCGGAAATCACTGAAATCAAAACAAAATACTATAGATGCTGGAGATTTGAATAAACACAAAGCGCTAGAACAAATATGTAATGGTATGGAGTCATTTTGGACTCAAAGCATTAACTTTGCTTTTCTCTCTCCACAGATGCTGCCAGACTTGCTGAGTTTCTCCTGCATTTTCTGTTTTCTTCCAGAAATCACCCCTGAATGACCTACTTTGTTGTTAAGTCTTGATTCTCCATAACAATTGAAAATGTTCTTATTCACTCATGGCATTTATTGCCTTCGCTAATCGCCATGGAGAAGAGGGGGGTGATCTGCTGGCTTAAATGACTGTAACTTTTGCGTGCAGGCAAATCCGTAGTACTGCAAGGGAGGGAGTTCCATGATCATGACCCAGGAACAATGGAGGAACGACAATATCGTTCCAAGTCAGGACATTGTGTGGCTTGGATGGAAACTTGTTGATTGTCGTGTTCCCATGCATCTGCTGCCCTTGACATTCTCGGTGGTAGAGACCATGGGTTTGGAAAGCGCTGTCAAAGGAGCCTTGGTGAGTTACTGTAGCGCATCTTTGTAGATAGTACACACCGGTGTCACTTGCAAGAACTCAATATGAGTTGGGACATGACGTGTCTTAGGGTCAGCATTGATAAACAAATGGAGGAAGTTTACCAATTGGAAGAGGTTAGGGGCATCTCGATTGGCCTCAGCAACTGCACTTTAGAGAGGGAATGAATAAACCAGGGTTCCTGCTTCTGATCTCTATTCAGATATTTCCCCTGAGAGTGCATGGAAACTAAATCAGAATAGCATCCACTGGGGATGTAATGCCTTCTGTGACTGAATAGGTTATGTGCCCTTATTGCCAAACCCTGCTTATGAAGAAGGGTCACTTGGGAAAGATGGAGCTGTACCCCACACCAAGCCAAACTAAAGAAATGAGATGATGAAAAGAAGACGGTTCTTTAAAAAGAAACATACATTTATTAAAAACCTAACTTTAAAATCAGCAGCATCATTGTTTTCTTTACCTTTCTTCTTTGTAAAATATGTAATAACAAAAAAGGATTAAACCATGAAAGGTAAGAGGAAATGTGTCGAAAAGAACATATTGAATCCGATTGGAAGAATGTTTGGATGAGGAAGAGCTGCTTGTGATTGATGGATCTGGTGACACTGACAATGACTTGATGGCAGTTTATTTTGGGCTGGGAGACCTCTCCTCCTCCTCTGTTCCCTTATTTAGTGTGTGAGGCATTAATACGACAGGGACCTCCTTCTTGCTCAGTATAGACTTGCTGTCATTCTGTTTGCATCGTACTGGTTCATCAGGTTTCAGTCTGCAATGGCTGAAAAGCAGACCAAAAAAAAGAACAAAATAGTTGGCAATGAAAAAAATGTAGAGGGTGAAGCAGGTGGAGAGGCTGCAACAGAGAATTTGGAATTTCCTGAGCTGGGGCCTTTTGAAACAATTACAGGGTGAGTATCAAATCTCTTTCTATTCTACGATGCCAGGAAAGAAAAGTGAGGTAGATATTTGGTTAACTATTGTTAAACATATTTCAACTCTGAGTAAAACATGCTATTCACCATGCTGTGCACTTCACAGAACAAACTTTTATCGATGACCAAGATGTTCTAAGGTTTAATTTTGACAAGCATGGTAAGAAATATCTTTGTCAGAAAGAAAGCAGTTCATTGAATGTAAACTGGAGTGTAAGTTATGAACATTGGCGTGCATCGTATTTCAGTATATTGGTCAATGAATGTTTTTTTATTTATGTGCTATTTCAGTGCTGGAATTATATGGCTGGGCAATGGAATTTCTAAACAGATATTACAAGGACAGTTTTGTGCTGGTTTCATGAATGCACTTGCCTGGTACTGAGTCTCACCTCTTAGGAGTTCATATCAAGAAATTACAGGAACATTACCCCATAATTTGCCAGTCCGTAATGAGTAACTTACTTGGAATGTTCTGGCAAAAATGAACAATGGTGTTTATACATATTGTGCGTAATGTATAGTTATGAATGTATTTCCTAAAAACCAATTAATTTAATCTTAAGCACTTTGAGATAAGATGAGATGGTATATAGATATAGAATTTCATCTTTATACAGCTTGTAATGTGCAACCTGCACGAAGTATATGTATCTAAAAGTCTACCAGAAGGCTACCATTGTTAATTGTATTTAATTGTATGCGATGGGCGTTAACTGCACATTCACTTCTGCTCTTATAAACACAAATGGAGAAAAACTATGTTTTAGTAGATGAGAAGGTGTCTGTTTGTAATGTATATGTGTTAATAAGTGCTCATAAAAGTAACTGAAGACAGGATCCAGATCTATCCTTCTCTAGTTGGATTTTGGGAGTAGAACATCCATGTGTAATACACTGGATTTTTGACTAGATTCATATACAATAGGGGAATTTCACTGATCCCAAGCTTGCTTGAATGAAATGCACATCATCTTTTCATTACTATTACTGAGTAGCCCTTTCACTGATGTGCAATCTCAGAGCAAGTCTCCCCATTTTGTGTTTAGGAGTTCATCTGTCTGTGTATTCAGATGTACAAACAGACTACTCATACTAAGAAAACCTAGTTCTAGTCTAAAAAAAATTCTACCCATGATATTTATCAGGGTTGTTATCTCCTTAAATTTGCTGAAGAGCCTGACCATCTACATGTAGAAATGGAGGTACAGGTAGCCTGACCATCTAGTTAGTTAAGGGTGGAGCTGAAGTAACTGTGAATATGCTGACTGTAGTATAGGTATTAATAGGCATTGTTCCACCTAGAAACACTTCAGACTAAACCATATGTTTGGCTAAGTGTTAGTCTCTGTAGGGTTTCTCTCTTGTGAGACTGAGTGAGCTTCCTCACTGCATCTTCCCAAGCTTGCCTCATTAATTACTAATTCAGCCCCTGAAGCACCCCTCTTGACCAATTCTAGCCCCATGATCATACTTGTCACTGCTGGGGTGTCCCAGAATAGACTAGCATCCCTGGCACTGGTGCCATTTTTAAATGGCCATTGTGCATATGGACGACAACCTAGTCCAGAGCTGCCCTACATGGTTCCTCACATTTTCCCCAGACATGACAATGAAGGGAAAATTGGTACCCCTCTTTGTGTGCAGGGTCTGGAGATCCAAGTGGATGGGGTGGTGTAGCAGGTCCCCTTTGCCAGGACCAGCAGTGGACACCATGACACCAGACTACGCCAGCCTTTTTCAAGGCTGTCATTGCAGATCAGTGCAGCCTCAGCTATCTGGAGGAATCCACAACAATGTAGGAAGAAGGTCAATGACTTCCACTCTGTCAGCATTAGTGATCCATCTTATCCTCAATACCTTACACTCAGCCTACCACTGCAGCTGGACCCACCTCCCACCAAGGCTCATATTCTACCACTCTCACTGTTACCTGCTACATCTTCCCTCACTCACTCTCATCCTTCTTAATCCCCAACACCTCTAACCCTACATGCCCTGTGCGTTGCCTATTCACTCAGTTGGGACAGCTCCCTACCTGCACCAGCAGTAAGAGCTGTGACATTCACTTTCATTGCCTTTAGTATCTGTCTCTTTCTCATTCCAGAAAAAAAAGCCAACAATAGGGCAGAAAGAGTCAAGAGAGGTGCTGAGCTGCCTATTATTCTGCTTTTCACCCCTTATGAGGAGAATATCCTAACTCTGACCATCCTGATTAGCTGACTAACTATGTCCAAGCCCCTGGACTAGTATTGGATGCTGTCCTTGACTATCTTTGCCAGGACCTCCTCACTGAAGGCTATCTCCGTTAACTTGACTGAGGGTGTGCTGACAACCATGGCAAGCCTCCTGGCTTTGTGTCTGCATTAAATAACAAAGCAATACAGCAATGCTGTGAGCATGGTACCTCTGGCTGAGAGGGCAAAGTGTGAAAAGGCAATGCAAGGCAGGAAAGCTGTGAGCATTCAGGTGTGCACAAAGAGGGTGAGCTCGCAAAGAGCAAGCAAACAGGCCATGGATGCAGGCCTCTCCATCCCTGAGTACACAGACTCCGTGCGGCATTACAATGATTGTTGCTGATGCAGTCTGGGGTGCAGCATTGAATTACAGAGGTGTCCTGTAAGTGGCTGGGAGATATGCCATTAGATTTTCTAGAGAATGACACATGTCAAGTGCTAATGTAAGTGGACATGGGGTTGATGTGGCTGATGCCCATTGAGTGTACCCTGAGATGATGGAGACTGTTTGGAAGCAGCTCTGACTTGCATGTCAAGTATTCTTGGTGTCTAGTTTGCTCATGGTGGGTGGTCCTATAGAAAACAACATAGTAATGATGTGAGATCTGAAGTTAATTAGGTCATTGACAATTAATAATACTCGTTTCATAGGTAACTCACTGCTCCCAGGCAAAAATCTCATCTCAACACGAAGAACTTAGTTAATACATGCAGCAAACTGTTCCCAATATCGAGGTAGGATTAGCTGAACTTTTCATCTGATTCTACCACATTTCTCACCATAGCCCAGTCTGTTCAGGTTCCACAATAAGATTCCACCATAAAATAAATTGAACCTCCTTTTGAAAAGTGTTATGTCGTTGTTTATAGTAAGATAGGATGGTTGCTGCTGTATTTTGGAAATGGTGTTTAAATGGTCAGTTAAGACGACTGTGTAACTGGTGACAAGCAAGTTGATTTATGAGTTGTGAGGTAAACATAAGGTTGTGTGTTATAACTATGACTTTTCTAATACATGTGTGAACAGTCTTTTCCTAAAATAAAATAACATAATTTTAAATTAATTAAAACAAACTAAATATGTGACAATGAGAATTTAGATTTAAAGTACAAATAAGCCAAGTTATGGTTTTTACCCAATGGTGGACTGTTTAACAGCTTCTAATCAACCCATTCAGAGATGTTATTACACACCACTGAAGCAGGTGGGACTTGAACCCAGGCCTCATGGCTCAGAATTGGTGACACCACAAGGGCCTCAGGTTTCAGCCTTTGAATTCTAAGACTCAACGCTGGCTCCAGCTATGTGTTTCAATGTGAAAAGGGAGTACTTTGGATGAAGTATTGCTGCAATGGAAAAGCTGAATCCACTCCTACCCATTTTGTGGCCACATGCTTCTCCAGTTCCGAAGAAGGGTCACTAGACTCGAAATGTTAACTCTGCTTTCTGTCTCCAGGTGCTGCCAGATCTGCTGAGTTTCTCCAACAATTTCTGTTTTTGTGTGTTTCTCCTATCTTTGTGGATCTGTCTTGTGCTGATGATCCTTTTTCCAAATCGGTACAGAATAAAAACAAAAGGTAGACTGCAATCCTCTGATTATTAAAATTATCTTCATAAAGAAAGCTGATGATGTGAAGGTTAAATTGAATCGATGAAGATAGTTATTGGTAGGATAGTAATAGAGTTTAGTAGTTAAACTTTGCTGAGTCACTTGGTCTAGATAAAATGAACCTGTTGCTAAAATAAGCAAGGGTATAAATAGCAGAGGCATTGATCCAAATTTTTCAATTCTTATTGAATTCAAGAATAGTGAGGAGGATTGGAGGATAACTAATGTTATAGAACTTGCCAAAAAGGTGGGGATCATAACAATGGGAAACTATGGACCAGGCAGTCTAACATTGGTAGTGGAGAGGTTATTGAAAGCCGTTAATAGGTTCAGGGAAGCTGTGGTATAAAGGAGAAAGTGAGGATATGAATGCAGTCATACGTTAGCTAGAGGACGTACAGAATGGTGATGAATGAATGTTTTTCACACTGAGGTATCTCCTCATGGCGCTCCTCAAGGGTCAGTTTTGCCTTTATTACCTGTCCCAAATTTGACAGACTAGACATGTAGGGACCAGCATTGTAAGGTTTGTAGACAACACAAACCTTTGCAAATTTAGAGGATAATGATGAAAATAGTTGTAGACTTCATGATGATAAAAGTATGATGGTGAAATGGGTGGAAGCGCAGTGTACGTAGTTTAGTGTAGAAAGATGTGAAATGATATACTTTGCAAGATCTATTATTGGAAAACAGTATGCTGGTTATTACACAATTTGGAAAGTTTAAATGAGCAGAGAGACCTTTGTGTTTATAAACAGAAGTCATTAAATGTGGCAGGGCAAACTGATAAATTCGTTTAAAATGAAGCAGTTGAGTTACTCGGGTTTATAGAGGAATAGAACATATGTGCAAACAGTCAATACTAGAAACTTATAGATTACTGGAATATTATGGACAATTTTGGGAAGTACACTTCAGGAGAAATGTAAAGGCCTGAGAAAGGATGCGTAGGAAGTTCACCAAGAGGTTATAAAGGAGAGGAACTTCAATCATGATATGAGATGAAACTGTTCCCCTTGAAACAAAGGCTAGAGTGGACCTGACTGAGTTTATTAAGGTGATCAAAGATTTTATTAAAAATAGATAGAGAAAAATTATTCAAACTGAGAAGTCTCTCAATCACTAG